CGGTGTTCGGCCAATCACAATGCACTGGGTCAGCTGGCCAATCAGAGCAGACTGCGCTTGTCGGAAGGAGGGACTTTGTTGAAAACGAAGCGTTTGAGAGAGGCGGGGCATATAGGACCTACAATAATGTACAGTATTTGAAAAATAATGTGTTTTTTGAACATTAAAGCATGTCAACATATTCTGTTACACCAAATACACAAAATAATGATCTTTAAAAAAGCATCATATGACCCCTTTAAAGTCACATGAGAATTTGTAAACTGCCAAACTGGTCTTCTGATGTCTTGACATACTTATTAGGGTTGGGAACGTACCTGTCATCTTGTGCGGGTCGGATGTATCCTGCAGACAGTATGTTGAGAGAGAGAATATTGGGGTCGATGATTGTCTCATCTGCTTCAGGCGTGTTCCGGATGCGCCCTGTCAAACACAAAATATGTCCCAATTGTTGAATATCATCCAATTTCGCTCTGGTTTGCGCATGCTTTTAATTTTGAGCCCAAACTCACCTACAACCAGCTCTCGCACTTCCTTCCACTCGATATCTCGTCCTGACTCATGTACTATGGTGACTGTGACTCTCCTTTGGATGCCCTGTTATGTAAATGTTGAAGTATTTTATGTTATTACGAAATAATTTTGTACTCTAATGTTAAAACAAAAAACAGTATGGGACAAGGGAAAGGGAAATGGATAGAAAAGAGGAAAAAAAAAAAAAGAGTACCTGATGTAACATGAATGTGCCATGGCATGGCATGCCTACCCGGTGGTCCACTACGGCTGGGATATAGCTGGAAGGGAGAGATGCGTGTCAAATACTGTACAATAACCAGCACTGTCACATAGAAACTGTACACAACATGTACAAGGATTTACAAAACCAATAGATTTAATATTATAATTATTTATTTAATAATATGTATATTTTTAAAAAATAAACTATTATATGATATTTATTTATTATTAATTAAATAGTATGTAAAATAACTGATCTTTCTTAGATATAACTGTTTTCATATAAGGTACCATATGACAAATTTATTCAATCACCTTTACAAGCCCCAGTAATCGATTTTACAATATATTCTATTCAGATGGCACTTTATTTTGATAGTCCATTTTAGACATTCTACTAACTATAAGTAACTTTGTAACTACATGTCAACTAATTCTCAACTACATGTATACTAACTCTCAGAGTAGACTGTTAGGTTAGGTTTAGGGTTAGTAGAATAAGTTGACATATACTTGCAAAGTTTCTTATAGTCAGTATGTTGTATGTTGTGGACCCATCAAAATAAAGTGTTAGCAGATATTAAGCAGACAGTCTACTAATACTTTAATGACTGCTAGTTGACATGTAGTTGCAAAGTTACTTACTGTTAGTAGAATGTCTAAAGTGGACTATTCAAATAATGTGTCACCATTTAAAGTGAAAAGGTCCACAGTAATACAAGACACTTACTCTCCATTGGCCTCTAGCTCACAGATTTCAAAGAAGACCATCAGGTCGTATTTACAGTGGCACGGTCCTGCCGTGGGTCGTGTGAGAGCTGTCAGTTTAGTGGCAGGTACTATGCAGAAAACAGAGAAAGACAGAGCGAGAAAGAGAGTCAAATCAATATTGAGTTCATCGTAGACCAAAGGATATAATAATTCAATGGCAGATGAGAGGGATACTAGAGTTCCACAGGAGAGAGGAAGATATGGATCACAGTATAAGAGGAGAAATAGACCATAGTTAGAGAGGAGCAGGAGTGGGAGATCAGGGGTCCGATGTAAAGGCACACTGCTGTTAAGATGAATAAAGTCATGTGAATTTCAGTGATCCCTGAACGTCTACTCATGCCGAGCAGAATTATTAAAGAATAGTTCACCACAAATAAAAAGTTTCTTCATTGGAACATAAAAAGTGAATTTCTGAAGAGTATTCTGGCCATTTTTTTTTCCATGTAATGTAAATTAACAAGGACTAGGGCTGTCAAACACCAAAATGACAAAAAAGCACCATAAAGGTAGTACTGTATCATGAAAGTTATTCATATTACTCGTGCGCTATATTATAAGTCTTCTGCATTCATATGATAGCTATATATCGAGTCAGTGAGTTGAAACAGAAAACCAGATTTGTTTGATTTATAAACAAATCTTTCAGATTTTGTCAACTAGACACAAGATATAAAATTAATTGAAAGAAATCAAACTTCTCTACTTCTTTCATGTGCTTGCATGAACAAGATATCAAGATACTGCCGCTTCAGAAGTTTTTTTTTGTGCGCTTTTTTGGAGTCATCTGACAGCCCCAGTCCACATTAATTTACGATATATGGTAAAAAAATTATCAAAAATTTTTATGAAGGTGAGTAAATTATGACAGAATATTCGATTGAGGATGAACTATTCCTTTAACTCACACTTAACTAATATACTTATGAATAATATTTATAAGCCCTTTTTTTCATTTTTGTCTCTTTATATAAGACAAACCAGTGAATATGATCCGTCAAGAGACAAGAAATCTAATAAAAAATAACAGCCAATAACCTATAATGACCCAAAATGAATAACACAGAGGTTTAGGGACCACTGCATCATCAAGCACAGTTTCAAGTGACAGAACAACCAGTTTTACTCATGCACTGATACATTCTTATTCCAGTACTATTCATCAGTTTATTTCTGGTGAATGATGTCAGAGAAAATGGCTAGAATTGTCCATCTGCTTGATGAGGTTTGTATGGAGAGGCTGAGGGAGAGAAAAAGACAGACACCCACACACAGTATTAACATGCCGAAACACAGTCCCTGGAACAAAGAGTCCTTCAGTCTGTCAATGCAGAGAGTTTGTGTGACTCCCAGTGAAATGGGGAAAATGAGTGGACACTTTGTCTAAACATCACCTATTTTTCTATTTAAGACATTCCAAGAAAACGTCCAAGTATATTTTGGAATAATTTACAATTACAGTCAAAACTTTGGAATAATTAAGTTCTTCCAGATTGTCTCTTATACTTACCCAAGGCTGTATTTATTCGATAATACTATTATAATTTAAGTAACTGTTTTCTATTTTAATATATTTTAAAATGTAATTTATTCTTGGGACGACAAAGCTGAATTTTCAGCAGCCATTACTCCAGTCTTCAGTGTAACGTGATCATTCAGAAATGATTCTAATATGCTGATTTGGTGTTCAAGAAATAATATCTTTTCAATGTTAAAAATAGTTGTGCTGCTTAATATTTTTATGAAAACTGAGAAACATTTCCATTCAAAAGTTCCGGGTAAGTATGGAAAAAAGACAAAAAAACATATCAAGGACGCAGTAAATTGATCAAAAGTGACAATAAAGACATTTATAATATTACTAAAGATGTCTATTTCAAATAAATGCTGTGCTTTTGAACTTTCTATTCATCAAAAAATCATGAAAAAAGTACCACTGTTTCCATACAAATATATAGCAGCACAAACATTTCCCACATGATAATAAGAAATGTTTCTTAATCACCAAATTGTGTATATTATATTATATATTATATATGCATTAGACAGACCGGAGGTTCAGTTTCAGGGACATCCTTTGGCCTTAGGCACTCAGAACCATTACAGACCCGGCTTCTGTGCTTTTATTACTGAACAGATAGACAAGGGCGGGGCCGGCAGTCTGGCTTGCTCCTCCCCCTCAAGGAGGTAGGAAACAGCCAAGCCTGCTGCACTGAGGGCGTGGCTTGACAGCGAGTCCACCAGAGCCCCATTGAAGACCTCTGGCAGCAGGTAGCGAATCAGCTCCAGGTTCTTCTCCCGATCAGGAGGGGTGCCATTATCTGCGGCTACACCCACCACCAACAACATAAAGACTGTGACATGGGCACATGGACCCAAAACAGCAACATAAAACAGGCAACACAAAGGACGAAGCCAAGAATATGTGCTAAACAGCTTCAGCCTCAATGTAATTTGGCAGGAGACATTGAAGGGGTCATCAGATGCAAAATTCACTTTTACATGGTGTTTGAACATAAATGTGTGTTGGCTTGGCAGTGTGTGTACACAACCACCATATAGTGATGTTTAAGATTATAGATTGTGTTTAACACACACAAGAGTGATGATCAGGTGAACACAAAGAAGTATAGAAATTCTACATTGATTTTTTAAAAAATGCACTGGTATCGGATCAGATCGGATCGGAATCGGCCGATACTCAGAATTTTTGGTATTGGATCGCTTCTGAAAAAATGGTATCGTTGCATCCCTACTTTTTATGAAGACCCTGAAGAATCATACCAACTTGTGGAAAATGAGCATCTGATGTCCCATTTAAAGAACAAATAGCATTTTTTTTTAAACATGCAATGGCCTATGAAGTGAAAAGGAGGGGCTTCTATGTTAATGGTCATAAAATATGGTCATAAATATTCATTGCCCTCACCTGGTTTGGAAAGAGGCATGACTCTTGGGAACTGTCGTCTGCATGGGCGCAGCGAGCTGAAAAAAAGAAAGATCTGGTTGTCATTTCAGTATATTTGATGGATAAATCCAGACATTTGTAGCATGTATTAATCAGAGTTGGAAATAATAAATATAGCCCGGATCTACCTAACGAGATCTTTGCAGAGCGGAGGGAAAGGCTGCTTCTGGTAATGTCCAAACACTTCAAACACGATTGGCTGAGTCTTTATGTACTCTATAAAAGACTTAGTCACTTCCACAGCAATCTGGAAAGTCAGAGAAACAAGTGTTTTACCCTCAGTCTAATAAAATCAGTGTGACGTGGTACTGTGTGTTTTAGTGTAAAGCTCACATTTTGCACATGATAGAAGCCAAGTGGTGGACCACGTCCAGTGTTCTTCAATGGCTCTGTTGAAAACGCTTCATCGTGCCTGTGAATAAAACTACAAACGAGAAGTTTAATGCAAGTAAATTAGATACAGAACAATGACAAATGTCCGCTAGTGGAAACAGACTTCAGAACAGAATAGAGGCACTTACTTGAACTGGCAGAATATGTCTGCGTATTCTGCGGATATGCTTGATGCCTGCAGCACAGTAACTCTGAATGTAAAGACTTCTCCAATCCTCAAGTGATCCAGAGTGCCGTCCAGTATGCCATCGAGACCAGTTTTGACAGGGCTGTCCAGCTCCTCTGGGTTAGCTATGAAAAGCACATGAATGAAAAGACGTCAAGTCAAAGAAATATGAAAACGCCATGGGATAGCCGATTTGAGCTGGCATATAAACGCAGACTTCAGTAACACAAACTCAAAGGTTATGTTTTTTACTTACACAGACTACCATTAATACTTTTATTCAGCAAAAATGTATTATATTGATCAAAAGAGGCAGTAAAGACAATAATGTTACAAAAGTTTTTTTTTTTTTTTAATAAATGCTGTTGTTTCTATTCATCCTGGAAAAAAAAAACATTTATCATGGTTTCCAAAAAAATATTAAGCTGAAAAAATGTTTTTAACTGTGATAATAAGAAATTAATTTTAATAAGAAGTTAAATTACTAAATTACATTGATTTTGGTCAAATGATTGTAGCCTTGGTGAGCATAAAAGACATTTAAAAAAAAAACAATCCCAAACACAGAATGTTCAATGTTTCTTACATGCACAGGTATTATTGTTGACCTCATCTGCTGACAGTCCCATCTCTGCATTTTGGCCCTCACCCTCCACAATTCGCAGCTCTTCCTGAGAGACAGCAGCAAGTGAAAGACCAGAAGGACAGGACTCTGACTGGAACTGCTCAACAGGAAAGAGAAACACTTGAAGTAAGTAAGACAAGATCAGCATAGCTGGTCACAAATGTACATTGTTATGGTTCTCACCAGGGTTTGAAATTAACTTTTTCACTCACCAGCCAATTTGGCTACTAAATATTTAAGTTACCGGCCATTCATAATTTCTACTAGCCAAAAAAATTAAACAAAAAAATTATGAAAAAAAGGCCGGAGGTAAGCCAACAGCTTGAGGCTCTCCACACTGGATGCGACAAAGTGACCATTGCAAATCATTTGTACTTTGTCAAACAGTAAGCCTACGTCATAAACAAACAAATAATGATATATTACTGAATTCACTATTATTACTAATATTACTAATATTGTCAACAAACAGCCTACTGCATTTTTGTCACATAGAAATGCACTTGACAGTATAAGCATTGATTTTGTGCTAGAACATAGGAAATTTACTGCTAATAAATGCTGTCATCCTTTCCTCACCCTCATGTCTTTCCAAACCTGTATGACTTACTTTCGTAAAACACCGCAGCGCTGTGCGGGCGGGAGACTGATCCCGCTCTGCTTTAACGCGCGGCTGGCGGATGCACCGGGTAGCGCCGCTTCACACTTTTGTAGTACTTGCTTTTTGCAGTTTCGCGTGGCTGTAATTTAAAAACAGCGCCTAATATGAGGTCTCCCTCGCTTCGGCGATCGACCCACCGGGAATGTCCCGGTGCTCCCGATGGCCAGTAGCTACATCGCTGGGTATGTTCAAGTAAGCTAGATATGCCCAGAGGCTGCGGAATTAGGCTTATTTAATATATCATGATGAGTCTCGAGTTCAGTATTTACACTAATCTGTGCAGATTTGGCTTATATGAACTTCCTCAAGAAATTAATTAGTAAACATAACTTACGAAAAGTAACCCTCCAAATTGGCTAGTGATTTGACAGCGTTAACGTTACCCGCCACAGCTGATTTTTACCCGCATTTGGCGGGTTGGCGGGTGTTCATTTCAAACCCTGGTTCTCACACTTTTGACCTATATTTACATGCTTTTTCCATGACTTTACTATAATTTAAGAATTTTGAGAAAACATTTTTTTTAATTGAAAATTCACTAAAATGAACTTGCATAACTAAAAAAGTTCATATTGGCTATACAAATTTCCAAGACTTTTTAATATTTCATTAATTTCAATTACTGGAAATAACACTTTTAAAATCTCTGATGTTTCCAAGTTTTATAGGACCATAGGAACTGTGTTGTGTTCTGAATGCTGGGTCTCAGCATCTTCAAAATGCTACTATCATACTGGTCAACCAGCTTGACAAGAAGGACCATTAAAGCCAGTAAAAAGCAGCCTGGACTAGCACTGAAATTTAAACTGGCCTTTTCAGCTTGGTCTACCCTTTCTGTGAAACTGCTTCATCATAAGTGTTAAAATGTTAATACCTTCTCAAACTGCTGGTCTTCAAAAGAAATCTTGGCAGTGCCTGACTGTCGGACACCAGAGCCATAGTCTGGTGCCTCTTCATCGGCTGGAGGAAAAACCAGAGCACCTTCACATCACTTCCTCAAGAAGTCACACACAGTTTGCCCTTCATACTGTACACACATATCCCTCTGGTCTAAACACACCCTCTAACACCAAATAAAATTCTGTTCCCTTAAACTAAAAATGCATCTACCAGTATTAAAGTTTTTTTTATTTATTTATTGAATATTTAATAGTGCATGCTAATTTCCCCTGATTTTACATTTACATTACTACTATCATCAAACTTATAACAATAAAATGATGCATTGAAATACAGTATGTGTCCCTATAAGACACTTGCAGTCCTAATCTTACCTGATATTGCTTGTACAGCTACTCTGAGGAAACCTTTGACTTCTCCTTTCTCATTAACTATGGCAACCCGATGGACCAAGGGCACAGGATAGAGCAGATTACTCAAATACACAAATGCCCTAAAGGAGAGAGGGAAGAAGAAAATGTGTGTCTAAGGGATCGACTGTACAGCAAACAGGACAAACACAACATTGAGCAACATACAGACACAAGCAGGCACTGCTGGGATTATTCCTCACAGATCAGGGAACATGATATAAAACAGGAAGGTGTGAGTATTTTTAAGATTTTGGGTAAGTTTAAGGAGCATGGGATTGAAGTGAAGATAAACCCTAAAAAAATACACATAAAAGAAATCTGAGACCACATTGAAAATTGAGGATTACTTTTCATTTAAAACGACAAAATAAAGAAAGGTTAAGGATTTTGAAAAATGTAATGTACACTACAGCTAATAGCAAAGTTGTTGTTGTTTTTCAAAGAAATTAATATTTGTATTCAGCAAGGATGCATTCAATTCATTAAAAGTGACATTTATAATGTTACAAAATATTTCAAATAAACACCAAATCAGCATATTAGAATGATTTCTGAAGGATCACGTTACACTGCAGCCTGGACTAACATCTGTTGAAAATTCAGCTTTGCAATCTCAAGAATAAATTACATTTTAAAATACATTATAGAAATAGAAAACAGTTATTTTTAGTGAAAATATTTTTTTAAATGTATTTTAGATCAAATAAATGCAGCTTTGGTGAGCACACTTCAAATATCTAAACAATCAAATATCTTCCCGACCCCAACCTTTGAACAGTAGTGTAAAAAATATAGAAATAAAAAAAGAAATACTTAAGATTCCATACTATTTCTACTGCAGGTCACTAATAAGCAAATGTGTAACACTGAATAAAAGTACATTTTGTACAAAAGGTCTAGTTTTCTTGCTTCCACACTAGATGTTTTGTAACAAAACTTTCTGAAAATCATGTTAATTGCTCAACTCACCCTTTCACTCAAATTATTGTACTACTAACATTATTTGCAAATTAAAAATGTACAACATTTTGCCTAGTGGTCTCAAAGGTTAGGACTACATTATATGTGTCAAATGTACAGACTACATGAAAGAACAGCTTTAGTGATTCAATATGTTTTTGAGTGAATGATTGGGGTATTTGGATAATCTATACATCCATGATCAGAGCCAGAATTAGGACGGTTTATTTAAAACCCAAAGACCCTAAATTTGGTTCTACCATCAAGGACTACATTGCCCATCCTCCACGTGTAGACACTGAATGATACAGCAGTGCTGAACAAAAATGGGGGTTTGGTGAGGTACAAAAAAGCATGCTTGTGACAAAAAAGGTGAACGAGGAGACATAAAATGTAACAGTACTGGACACTGTGAGCGTGAACAGACAATACCATTAGCAAATGCCAAAAAATAAAGGTAAATAAGATACTGCAAAAAAGCAGCCATACTGTCACAAATGTGCAGTGCATCGCACAAGCGCAACTTAAAAGAGTGAGCCAATTCATCAAAGGTTTCCATGTAAAATCTCACAAAAAAGGTTGAAATACGGCATATGATCTCACATGCCCAGAAGAGAGACAGCTGTTCTAGAAACCAGCTCTTTCATCTTGAGATATGTGAACTCTCGGCGTAACCAAGCGGCTGAATTACAGGAACCAATTAGTAAGTCATTAGATGAATAGCTATTTTCTCATTCATCAGAAATTCATGCCATGTAACGAAAATCTGGTCTTGTTTGTTTCTGCGGTACACAAAACAAACAGCTAATATGAGTGTTTGGAGATAGCACTTCAAAGCTGACGGACCCCTTTGAAGAAGAGATGCGGTGCATGTAAAGCTGGGACACAGACCTTGGCGTGATGCGAGAGCCATAGCTGCGCTGGGTGGTGCCGCTGACATCCAGCCAATTCTGATTTCAATTATCACAATCATTTGGCCGAAATGAAACCCAGAAGCTCAAGGTGTGTGTCTGCAGCAATCAGATGAAAGTCAAATGTATGATAATGGGAGAAGACGGTGTAAAGTCCAGACATGCTGACTAAAATCCAGGAATTCTTCCCAGAGGAAAGACAAATCACATCTTTTTAATATTGTAGAGGTTTCTCCTACAGCAATGAGATGGAAGACTCAAGTGGAGACTTTCTACTCAGATTTTTCTTCAGACCAAAGACCCTCAAGAGATCTCAACAACGTCACAAACAGATTTACCACAAGGGTCATTGACAAATAGTAGGCGCCAAGGTAAATAAAAGAAAAATTGTGTTTAAAACCCATGTGCTCTCATTTCTTAGAAATGTATTCATATTGTTTCCACAAGATGGCATGTGGTGTAACCATTAAATAAAAAGTGTGCACATCTTAATAATTGTTGGAAAGTATTTTTGGACAAACATCATGAATTATTGATTAATAAATATCTTTGTGTGTGTGTGTGTGTGTGTGTGTGTGTGTGTGTGTGTGTCGCATTACATAACCTGAACCAACCCATTACAACCTAAAATAATGTTACCTTATCATAAATATGTCAAATCATTTAACATTTTAATAGACTTTTTGACCTTGACACAAAGCCATGAGGGTCTGCAGGGGTCCCCTCTATATCTTATTTCCTGTTTTATGTCTGCATCTTGATCACACCACATAACATTAATTTGACGAAAATTTTTTTTCAAATATTTGTAATAATTTAACAAAACAGATTAATTGTTTTCAATAAATAATAATATAATATAATAATACATATTAAATATTATGCCAAGCTACCATGGATTTTATTTGATTTTTAAAATGTATATTTAGAATATTATTACATTTTTAGATTTTATTTTCCGAGTAGACTACTTCATTTTTTGTACATTTGTACCAATGTGACATCTGTCACGTCATAAACCCAAACACCAAAACCAACAGAGATCTCTATATAATGTCCAATAAATAAATAAATACTGTAAATAAAAAAAAATCTCAAATTGACCATTTTGTCCTGTAGGTCAATAACATTTGTATTTACTTTTATACTTCTTTATTTCAAAGAGATGTACAGACTCACAGCAATTTTAAATTTAATTCATTCTAAACTATCAAACTATTTGAATATGTCTAACATATGGCTTTTTCAGTTATGTGTTTGTGTATAAATGTAAGCGTTGTCATTATGCAAGCAAAATGTTTCAAGTTTAAGTGTACATATTGTATATACAGTACATTACAGTGTATACACATTACATTTTGTGTGAGTGCTGTGCACACATTACGTGCGATAGCCAGTTTAAAAAGGAACTGCTGTACAACAACCCAGTCTCAGTGTGAAAGAGCTAGTTTCCTTTCCCAGCATGCTCCTGAAACCTCACCAACCTTCCCACTACACTGAACAATGGTGAGCGATCGTAAAACGGGTCCTCAGCTTTGCCGGAGCTTCTGCAGAGCTCTCCCTCATCATCATCATCATCATCATCATCATCCTCCCCCTCCTCTTCCTCGAAATCCGAGCATGGGTCATCCGATAAGAAATCATCGTCCAAGTCATCCAACTCTGTCCCCACCCTCTTGTCAGGCCACGACTGGACCAGCTCAGTGATTTCAGAGGTTGATGTGGGCTCAGAGGGGGTGGGGGAGGAGTTAGGGTCACTCGCTTGCTCACTAAGGCATGTGGAGAAAAGGGGGTTTCTGGTGTAGCCAAAGACACGGGAGCCCAGTTAGTACGAGGGGCCATCTGTCTTTTTAATTGTTTCTGTTCGCAAGTGGGTAAGTAAACTCTTTCAATAAGCCAATAGCCGAGTCATGGGCATACAACACATAAACAACCCAAAAAAAAAACACTCATCAGTAATGTGAACAGCAGCCTGGAACAGGATTCCATTAAGTTTGTCCAATATTACACTGCCTTTACACTGTTTGGCATTTTTTTAAGAAATTAATACTTTTTATTCAATATAATAAATGATGAAAAGAGACAGTAAAGACATTTATAATATCACAAAATATTTCTATTTTCAAATCAATTCTGTTCTTTTGAACTTTGTATTTATCAAACAATCCTAACAAATATGGCACAACTGGTTTTAAAATTGATAATAATTAGAAATGTTTCCTAAGCACCAAATCAGCATATTGATTCCTGAAAGATCCTGTGACATTAAAGACTGGAGTAATGTAAAAATGAAATTAAGAGAATATTTCACAATATTATGTTTTCTAATCCATTTTTGATCAAATAAATTCTGGCTTGGTGAGACTTCTTTCAAAAACATTGCAACAAACATACCAACCCCAAACTTTTAAATGATAGTGCACATTTTATAGGCATAGTTCAACCAAAATCTAAAAACTGTCATAACTTTCTCAAATAATATTATCATTATGTCGTTCCAAACTTGTTTTCTTTTTGGAACTCAAAAAAAGTAGAATTTTGGGATAATACTTAGAAAATATTAAAAATATATCAGCCAATATGTTCAATATAATGAAAGTGAATAAGGATGGGGACTGTCAAGCTCCACAATAACAAAAAAAACACCATAAAAATAAAGGCAGTTCGGTCATGATAAGTCTTCTGACATCATAAAATAGCTTTGTGCGAGGAACAGATCAAAATCTCGACCAAAATAGTTATTAATTGAAAAGGTTCACACACACCCTAACTCTCCTTGGTGTACTCAAGAGAGAAGAAGTGATGTCTGGTTTGTGATGCATATCTTTTCAATGAATCGGTTGATGTAGCTCACAAAACCAGTCTAAATAATAATGACTCCCCTAAGCTACTGATCCAGCTGTAGCAGTTAACAGCTAATGGAAGAGAAAAATTATCAGTGAATAACCATTCAAAATCTGTTTGTCACGCAAAGCTATCATACATCTTAGAGCTATGGTTCCAGCTCGCACTTATTGTAATTGCATGGAAAAGAGCAAAGTATACAAAATGTAAAAAAATAATCTCTCTTTTCGAGTTCCACAGAAGAAAGGAAGGAACAACATAAAGGTGGTTAAATGAGGCCAGAATTTCTCATTTTTGTGTGAACTACTCTTTAAAGACATAGTAAAGGCGAGATTAACAGCATGTCATACAGCTCTGAAGTAGACAGGGTAATGGGACGCGTGTGACCTAATTTGAAAGTGCATGGAAAATCGATTTCATGCTCTTCTGAATAAAGCAGCATCAAAAATCTTGCACTCTTAAAAAGCGTGTGGGCAATAACTCTGGACTTATTCCTCAGAGGAATTAGCTAAATTTCATATATCCTGTAGAGATCAGCTTTAACCATAGCTTATTACATTTCCGTTACATGTGTATTACATTATATATTATTGCATTTTCTCGTTCCAGCAGTTTTTCAGGCCTGCAAGATGCTCTACTATTACAATTACAAAACCACAATGAGAATTGCTAATTTCGTCCTGCATAACAGAATTGAATTCACCTTCAATGGGCCATTCAAATGAAACATAGTTTGAGGAGAAATCTGACAGGAATGTTGTTGATCATGTGGTCTTTATCTGACAGTAGTCAGAGAGTGCAGGGGCGTTCTGTACTAAACATCAGCATGGCTGGTCTGTCTAGCCATGCCCTGATGTAACCTTACAACTTACCTTCCAACCAGACGGAACCAGGGAAAGCGGTCGTAGAACGGATCGCCTCCAGTCAGCACACTGTCACAGTCTTCAAGAGCACTGCCGGGCACCTCAGCAGCACGATCATACATCTCTCGCATCAGATCCAGCCTCTGCCTGCAGGGGGCAGCATTACACATCACTTGTAATGTAAATACTGGCTATACTGTGAAACCCAAGGTGACTCGAAGTGTAGCTGGGTTTTTCTTCAACTAGGAGCATTTTGTGTCTCAGAACTCTATTTTTAGTACAGGTAACAGATTTTATTATTGTTGTCCTGAAATAACATGGCTTCATTATTTTTTGCTACTTTTCAAACACCTTTTATGGTTTTACCCATATCTTAGACTTTGAATCCTAAAATATGAGATTACATGATTCCAATAATGATTATTATATTTGTAAAACTATCAAAATAAAACAAAACATGAAATACCAAACGGTTTCAGTAATTACTGTGTGAAAATACTTTATAAACATGTATAACAACACAAAATATGACTGTCCCTCAGTTTTTGTGTAATTTCCAGCACAACAAAGAATACAATTGTAAATGTAGTGGGTACCAAAGAGTCAAAAGTGTCTGTAAAGAGCAAACTGAGATGAAATATGAGACCTATGTGAAGAAAATAAAGAAAAATCAAAATGGGCCAGGATACTTAAAAGGCTAACTATACAATTAGCTTTAGCCAAACAGAGGTGTCTGCCATTTTATTCAAAAAATGTTTAAACTGTTTAAAACATCAAATAAACCAGTAATTTTGAAATGTTGTGGAAATATCATTAGTTGGTTCCTGCACACCTGCCCACTGTTGGATACTGACAGTTCACAAATGAAATAATTTAGTGAAATTGTAAATAGCCTAATCTGCTTTACAGAAGTTTATTCTCTAAAAAAAATGACCTGAGCTTCTCCAGGGTCCAATTATGTGTGGCTCCATTTTTCTGATCTTGGACTTCTACAGCCACGATGGTGCGAGGGAATGGGCTTTTCTCGCGGTCTTTAGCTGTCTCGGGTGGTAACAGGTCAGGCGGAAGTGGAGAGTAAAGCGTGTCCGTCAATAACACAAACTGGAACTGAACCTGTAAGTGACATTAGGCAAAATCAATAAAGATGTTGTCATATATTTTATAGGTTTAGCAGAGTGGTGTAGTTCTTTCTGGTCTTTCTCAAGCTTTCACCTTCTTCTTTAGCTCTACGCTAATGGCATTGGCCTCCTTGAGGAAGATGGCATTGCCCCAAAGCAGATCTCTGAGAGATGTGAACTGATAACACCTCCATTTACGGAAAGCCCACAGCGCCAGTTCTGTCTCCCTCTCAGTCCATTGCACTATGGGTATAAGAGATTGAAATACAAGAGGCTCAATTATTTAAACCGAGTCATTGTGATTAGTTCAGGTTTTGCCATTCGCAATCTAGTCACCTTCCTCCTCAGGTTCGTCATCTTCCTCTGCTGCATCAGGGTAATAACGATCTACCTGCTTCTGCAGGGCTTCTAACCTGCTCTCATAGTCCTGTAAAAGACATACAGTATAGTGAAATTTCAACACTAAAAAAAGTGTCATATCATGCCTAATTGTAAAGTTATGAGTATAGAGGGAAAAAGTTTTATTTTAAGCTCTTTACAGTATGTTGTTTACGTCACTTACTAATCTCTGTTGCTCCAGTAAATTGTTGGCCTCTTCTCTCTCTTTGCGATACTGATCCTCAAGTTCCTGCAGTCTATACAAACAAAGAGCTGATGACTCTGACAACACAAATGTCACATCTTAAAGGGGTCATATGATGCATATGACATATGACACATATGACATATATGATGTTTTCCTTTGTCTTTGGAGTGTTACAAGCTGTTCGTGCATATGTAAGATCCGTAAAGTCGCAAAGATTAAAGTCTCAAACCCAAAGAGATATTCTTTATAAAAGTTAAGACTCGTCCATGCCTTCCTAAAATGCCTCATTCAAACGCCCCCACAAATCTACATCACTGTGTGGGAATATTTGCATAACACCGCCCAAATGTATGCACAAAGAAAGAAGGTGTTACTTTTATTCTCGCTGTAGTATTGTTGCCGCCGCCGCCATGTCGTGGAGACGCTGTGGATTTCCAAATATGGTAAGGGGCGTAACATTTCCGTCACACGCTTGAGGTATTCGGCCAATCAGAACGCACTGGATAGCTGGCCAATCAGAGCACACCGCACTTTTCAGAAAAATTAGCTTTGCAAAATTCGATGTGTTTCAGAAAGGTGGGGCAGAGAGGAGCAACAATAATTTTTGGTATGTGGAAAATAATGTGTTTTTTGAACCTTAAACCGCATAAACACATTGCATTACACCAAATAAACAAAATATTGTTCTTTTTAGCAACGTCATATGACCCCTTTAAACTTATTCTTGAATTTCCGCCATGTTTCCTTTACCTCTGATCCATTTCCTGTTTCATATCAATGCCCTGTTTCTCCAGGAGTTCTCTCTGAGCAAAGGCCCAGTACCAATTTCAAAAATAATTGTTTTAAATGTTAGTTTATGAACATGACAAATTTATAAATAAATGAAATAATAAATAAATGAATTAATAAATGAAATCATAAATACATTAATTTAAAAATGAAATCATAAACAAATTAAATTAAATTAAATTAAATTAAATTAAATTAAAAAATAATTAATTAAATAAAAATGAAATCATAAATAAATAAAAATACCTACATAATTGGAGGCAACCCATAATGCTTTGAAAAAGTATTGTAGCAGGTGAGGGAAAAGTGTAGGCAGACCTGATCTGAGAACCGTGGGTTCTGTTACTCTCTTTCCATTGACATAAGTTTCTGCTCCCTCACACGGCTCAAGAATGACAGCTGTAAAAACAGGAAGAACAGCCATAAGGACTGTGGGATATATGTGTATGAGTATGTGGGATTGCAAAGTGCATCATTAAAAAACCTTCTCCCATTGGTCCAGTGGTGCTGGTGAAAGTGCAGTGTTCCTCTTTGATGAAATGACCACTCAAAACAATGTCCTGTCTTCTGCTGGCATCTTCTCTCCCCACCCTGAGCACAGCAACATATCAGACACCTTAGTACTAAATCTACTGAACAGAAGAATGTGTGAAATAAGAAGCTTGGATTGGCACTAACCTGGTAATTCCATCTTTGATGTAATACAGGAGACATTCAGACATCAAAGGATCTTCATTTAGATTCACCAGGTGGGGTGTCTATAATCAGGGCCCAAATTCATTCAAAATCAACATTATAGGTTTTGTATTTACTGAATGAAATACCAATGCTTGCAAGGCAGCAACTGAATAGTCTTACAGTTTCAGGTATGTTTAGGTTTTAGGCTTTGGTTTTGTGTTTAAAGGTAAATGCCACATTAATGATGGACTGCTGTTGTCATTACAATGAGAAGGCATCTTGTTTTCTGTCCGTTTTGTACTAGAATCAAAACCTTCATTGCACAGATCTGTCCAAGTCTGACTATAAATGGATATAGTCGGCATAAAATGGTAACTCCATTCTTCTTTTCTCCCTAATGTGATGTATATCTGTGTAAATGGCTTCTTGAACGAGAAATAATGTATGGCAATAATTTTTGCTTTTGTCCATTGGGAATTGATTGGATCTTTGGATTATATGTTAATTGCTGAGACAATCTTTATGCAAACAGATGTAAGAAAGAAGACCAATCGCTATAATATATATACATACAGTATATTGTATATGCTGAAGTAAGTGGGAGTTTTTAAAACTGTTTTTTTAACTTCCTAAAGTATGAATCACAGGGGTAGAAAAGAGGCTGAAATTGTCTAAAAATAAAAAAGTCTGAATGATGTCTATGATTAAATAGTTAATCATACTTGGAATCAATGGTTTAAAACAAACTCTAGACAAAATGTTTGCAAAACATCAGAGTAGCGCTGCCTCGTGAGCACTTTCAAAATGTATGTAGACAACCTTTTAAAAGAGGAAAATAAAAGAAAAGTAAAACAATTATACTAAGACAGCTGTCTTTACATCAAGTTTCAGTATCAAAATCCATGAAAATGCATGCAATTCACCAAACTGCGTAAGATTCCAGACAGGAAAGCCTTTAAAAGCATCTTGTGGCCATGATGCTTGAGATCTGAAGTCTTCAAAGTGCTTTAAAGTTTACTATAAAGACTAGAAGGAACTGCAGCACATCAACATTCATATTAGAGAGTAATGAGCAACAGATCCCTAAATAAAGAAATAAAGATCACAGACGCATTTAAAAGAGCTCTGATGGGGAAAACACACAGAGGTATGTTAGAAGAGTCTGAGAGGAGCGATCAGGATGTAACCACACAGTATCCATGGCAACCAACCTCATTGGGAGAGAACAGCCCAACAGTGTCTATAAAAACGGGCTGAGGTTTTCTCTGCGAGGGCTTCCAGAAGAAGAACGTAAAGACATTTACAGGCTTATTTGGTCATTTGAGCAAACATATTAACCTTAATTTGTGGTCCACCTGCACACGGTTTCTCCCTACAGCCTTTACAACATCTTTACCTTCTTTGGTGAAAAGACTCCAACAGTTCCTCCATCCTCACGCATGGCCACGCCCATCTCGACCAGCAGTGCTTCTCTGTGAAAACCAATTTATATATGCTTTTAATACGTTAACTTATACATAACATAAAAACTGCTTAAAAATCACATAAGAATTCATACAACACACCTGTCCATTCTGATGGCCTCTGTACGGCGAAGCTTCTCTTCCCAGGTTTCATTGAGCTCGGCAATAATTTTCTCTGTTTCCTAAATTGGCATTACAAACAATATCAAGTTAAAATATGCCATCAAATCTATGGTAGTTTTTGTAAGACCTATATCTTTAGACAGCAAAAGTCAATTTAGTTTTTGGGGTAAGGTAATATGGTAAAATATTTTGAATGAAAGAGTTAATACACCGTAACTTTCAGACCTTGAAACTGCCGCAAAAAAAAACTTTCTCAGTTTTATTTATTGAAACAAAAACCTCATGAATGCCTCATTCTGGAATCAATTTTGTAATATCATAGGAATGAAAACATGAACACATGACCGCATTCTCATTCATTTCAATGGTAGGTGTTTGGTTGGTTCATGGTTAAAATCTGCCATCTTTACTAACAGATGCTCATTTCTGCAACCAGCCTCTTTTGAACCAATCGCCATAAATGGCATGTGATCAACAGATTCCAATTACATAAAAGTTTTAAGGCCGATTCTCACTGCACCATCAGAGTCTGACCAACAGCAACAGATATGTTTGTCGGATTTTGTCAAATCCACTGTTGCTGTGTATTACCACTATGTGTATTACCACTATCGGCATCTGTTGCTGTTGGTTGGCGCTTGTTTTCGCCAGCTGAACATGTTCATTCGAGGTTTGTTGGGTCATGGAATGTCTGAGAAGTGACTGTATTCTGCTGGTATTATTAGGTGTTGGTCTGCATCTGTTGGTGCACACTGGTAAATTGTTACAGTTGTGTAGGCAATGTTATTTTACTATTATTTACAATACAGTATACAGTGGTGGCCAAAATTATTAGAAAACCTGACAGATCGGAAAATAAATGATGTCTCTCCACATCACCATAGCGCCATTTTGGAGAATAACCACTGAACGCAAACAGTTTGCACTATTCTGTGACAACCGCGACACAAGGATACGTTTTCTACGTGTATTTACGCTTTGATTTGAACGAAAACAGCGCATCCGTGCAGCGCGGCTGACAGAAGAGCGTACGCTGCTTGCGTCCAGTGGATATTCTCCAAAATGGTGCTACGGTGATGTGGAGAGACACAGAGGAGACGAATTCTTGAATAAAGTCGTTATTTTTGTTTTCTTCACGTACAAAAAGTATTCTCGTCGCTTCATAACGTTACGGTTGAACCACTGATGGCAGATGGACTATTCTGACGATGTCTTTCATACTTTTCTGGGCCTTGACAGTGTAATTTACTTGGCAGTCAATCGGACAGTCACAAGCCTCCCGGTTTTCATCCAAAATATCTTAAATTGTGTTCCGAAGACGAACGAAGCTTTTACGGGTTTGGAACGACATGGGGGTAAGTGATTAATGACAAAATTTTCATTTTGGGGTGGAGTATCCCTTTAAACTTATTTTGTTTCAGTTAGTTGCTAAACCAACATTTCTCACTTTTTCTATTTCTATTCTATTTTATTCCAGCTTTATTTCAGTTGGTGAAAACCATTTTAATAGATTTAGTTAATGACAACAATACTGCACGTAAGTACAGTAAAACTAAGGGGGGAAATTATTTTTTTTAAATGTTGAAAAATATGGTATGAGCCCTTTAATCTGAAGTTGTTAGGCAAATGTTTGTCAGATTTATATTTGAAGGATTTCAGTCAGTGTTATCAGGGTTTCATGCTTTATGCCAGTCACCTTGAGTCTCTCAATGGCTTCCTCGCTCCCTGGGCTGAACATGATGCGATCATGGAGGCTGCTGATGGAACCAGCCCGGCTGGACAGGGCGGAGAGAGATGGAGAGGGGCTCATCGCCGTCATAGCATTGGTCACTGTGGAGAGATCACCTCTTTGATTGACAGCTTGGCCACTATTGTTATTGTTCTTGTAATCGGATATGTCTGTCGGGGAAGGGGGAGAGAGGTGCGGGGTGGGGAGAGGGGCAGGAGGTGACAGACACAGAGTTCAGAGAGGAGCAGACAGAAAAGGATGAGCAGAAGGAAGGAAAGGTAGAGAAAAGAAGACAGAGAAAGACATGTAGCTTGAAATGAATTTGAATTCAGAGACCCAGAAAGAATACAAAGAAAGAACAGACAATCAGCCCAGTAAGGGGGACAAGCAGAAATAAAATAAAAGCTCTAGTGCAGGCACCCGGCAGCACAGAGACATGCCAGCCATCAGCTAGCCTACAGCGTTACACACCGGCCATCCAATGACAGCAACCTGAGAGCCACGTCTGAAAAATTTAAGAGGCATGCATGCATTGATCTGGGCTGTTATTTGACACCAGTGTCTTATATTTGTTAGTGTACATTGAGCAAAATGCTGTTAGTCCATTCAAGCAACTAAATGGCAATCCTTTCTTGGTCTTAAAGGAATAGTTCAGCCAAAATGGAAAACTTTGTCATAATTTGCTCTCACTCATTAAAGGGGTCATGACATGAGAAATCAAATTTGCCTTGATTTGTTGGAATATAAGAGTACTTTGTACCATTAAAACATCCTGCAAGTTTCATAGCTTAAAAAGTCCTCCTCTTTATAAACAAAGCATTTATTTATTCAAGCTCCAAAAATGGCTCGTTTTGGATCTGAGGTGCAAGATGACGTCAGCCGGGAACAAACATTTGCATAAACACAGCCTCCAGAGCAAGACATCTACTTTACCGTTATAAGTAAACCTCAAGGAACATATTAAAATAATAAAAAAATCCATGTCATGACCCCTTTAAACTATAATTTTCTTTCTTCTCTGCAATACAATAGACTTTAGTCAGCATCTTATTAAATTTTTGTCAGGAATGAAAACGAGGCTGTGAGGGACAGAAGTACAGTGTGTTTACTGTATGGATTACACTGTTTTTTAAAAACAGTTACAACAGGTTGAAAAAAAAAACTTCCAGTTGATAATGCATGACGTTGCATGACACAGGACCTTTAAACAGAGCGTGTCATTGAAAAACTGTAAGTCAATCCCTCACAGCCTCATTTTCAACTGTTAAATTCAGTATGGCATCTAATCTGACTAAGATGTATACAAGATATTTAGAAAATGTTTTAGCTGTTCATATTATGATGTCCAAATTGTTCATGAGCCAAAAATGACATACATAGAAATGAATCCAGTATATGAGTCAACTGGTATATTATAAGCCTAGTGAAGTGACACAATCGCTTCATATGATAAACAGATCAAAATTAAGTCTTAATTTACTCTCAAATCAAATTAGAACACTGATTAACTTTCACATACAAAGACTACATCAAATATGACAACATGAACTTTAAACGTCAAAAAACGTCACACCTTATTGGTTCTCACATGCCATGAGATCATTTGAGGTTTGTGTTGCCATATTTGATGTACTCTGTCAAGTTTGTTATGACTGATGTATAAAGGCTTACATTTCAATTTGATCATACAAATGATTATGTTGCTTTAGAAAACTTTGTACTCTAGTTCATACTAAGTATAGTTCAAATCTATTAACATATTTACTGACATATCGCTCAAGATTTACTGATATAAATTATAATTAAACCTTATTAACTACTTGTGCACAATGCACATTTCTTAATATTAAGCCTAAAATGCGTTTTAATGTCACTACTGATGAGGATTGTATGGTATTGGAATAATATCAGTCTTTAAATGCAAGATATTTAAAGTGTACCTAAAGTATACATGCAATAGTATATCTTTAGTTGGACTTCAGCACAACTACTGCACAATTTAAAGTGCATGAAGTACAAAAAGTTGCAGGGTATTTTTATTAAGTACATAAATATGTAAATGTATTTGTAGCATACTTAGCATTAAATAAATGTATTTCAAATACATTTTCTTATATTTATCTTTCACTAGGGGAAGCTAACTTTATGCCCATTTGGGACCGCAAAACCCAAATGACTTTCATTATTTGGTCAAAAAAAGCTAAAACATTCATCAAAATATCTTCTTTTGTGTTGCACACAAGAAAGTAAGCCAAATAAGTCTGAATGACATGAAGGTGGCTAAATGATGAATATTGTTAGGCTAAACTATCCCTTTAAATATGCATGATATCACCAATGGAGTTTTGGGGCTTGAGGTTATACTAAAATGATATCTAGAATACATCTACAATATTGGCAAAATATACCTAAGAAAATGTCGGTAACACTTTATTTTAAGGTGTCCTTGTTACATGTTACATGTACTTACTATTATGATAACAATAAATTATGCATAATTACATGCAAGTAACCCTAAACCAAACCCTAACCATATAGTAAGTACATAAAGTTAATATATATTACTCAGTACTTAAATGTATAATTACACTGTAACAAGAACACCTTAAAATAAAGTGTAACCAAAATGTCTTAATGAAAATATGCACTACACAGACTTTTGTCTAAATAAATGCTGTCTAAAGAGAATGCTATTGCCATGCTATTTTAGCCTATAGGCCTTTTTTATATCCTTAACGCTATCTAGCATTGGCCCATCTCTCATACTAATTAACATACACTTTTTATAAGCAAATGTTGACTGTAGTACATTAGCAATGAGCTCATATTTCTGCTAAAAGCCAGTGACTCTCATTCCCATCATCTCTAACCAGAGCGATCGTCATCGCTGACCACAGTAAAACCTCCATTACCAGCTCCATTATGCTCTCGTGAAATCCATTTACAATGAAACAACTTACAGCCTACATCTGAGTTACAAAACAACATTCACGACTCTCACACAGGAAAGATCCTCCCACGTTTCTCACCGCCAGCATTTCATATAATATCCACCTATCCAACCACTAAATATCACATATCCCTAGCTGAACAGTTATGCTAATACCATACGAAATGTAACACGGGATATAATAGCAAAAATAAACGTATATTCTACAGAGAGTTTGGCTTTGTAATTTCTCT